ACTCCGTCCACACCTTTGGGGACCCCTGGACCCGCTGGGGTTGGACTCCAGCAAGTCTGCTCAGTTTTGTTTTGCTTATTCATTTGTTTTGGTCTTTAGATTCCACATAGAAGTGAAATCATATGGTATTTGCCCTTCTGTCTGATTTATTTCACTTAGCATAATAAATGAAATAAATTTAGGTCCACCCATATTGTTGCAAATGGCAAGATTTCTTCTTTATATGGCTGAGTAATATTCTATTGTGTATATGTACCACATCTTCTTTATCCAGTTGTCTGTTAATGGACACAGAGGTTGCTTCCATATTGTTTAGGTTTATTCTTATACATGTCACTTTATTTGCTAATCATTTCTTCTTGCACCTAAGACCTTTCAAATAGGTTTATTTTTCCTTCTTCATAAAGTACATCCTTTAATATTTCTTTTAGTATGTTGGTACCAGTCTTGATCAATTTTTATTTGTTGAGAAATGTCTTTATTTCACCCTGGTTCTTATAAAACCTTTTTTCTGGTTATATGGCCAAATATGGCATCTAGCACGCTGAAAATATCATTCTACTCTCTTCTGTGTTTCTTATAAAACCTTTTAAAAAGTCAACTGTCAGCATAACTGTTGCTTCTTAGGGGTTATCTGTCTTTTCTGTCTGGCTACTTTTAAGATATTTTTATCATGTGTGTGTTTGCATGTGTGTGTGATCTACGATTTTAGTATGACATGTCTAAAGGTTGTTTTCTTCTTATTTATTCTGCTTGAGATTCATTGAGTTTATTGAATTTATGTATTTTATCATTTCTAGAAAATTCTCCACCATTAACTCTCTGAAATAACCTGGAAACCATTTTCTCTCCTCTCCTCTGGAAGTCTGATTAAATGTTATATTAAACATCACACACGTACACACACACACACACACACACACTGATAATTCTAATAACTGAAGTCTGTAAGTGTAGTTCTTATGGTTCTTGTTGATGGTGCCTTGTTTCTCCGTGTGCTTCATAATCTTGAATATGTACTATTAATTGTCCTTGAATTTTTTTTAATAAATCTTTATTGTTCCGATTATTACAGTTGTACCTCTTCCCCCCCCCCATAGCTCCCCTTCACCTGGTTCCCACCCTACACCATGCCCTTACCCCCGCCCCTCCATTGTCCTCATCCATAGGTGTAAGATTTTTTTTAAATATATTTTATTGATTTTTTGCAGAGAGGAAGGGAGAGAGATAGAGAGTTAGAAACATCGATGAGAGAGAAACATCGATCAGCTGCCTCCTGCACATCTCCTACTGGGGATGTGCCCGCAACCCAGGTACATGCCCTTGATCGGAATCGAACCTGGGACCTTTCAGTCCGCAGGCCGACGCTCGAGCCAAACCGGTTTTGGCGATAGGTGTAAGATTTTTGTCCAATCTCTTCTGGTACCCCCAACACCTCCTTCCCCACCCCCGCCCCGAGAATTGTCAGTCTGCTCTCTTTCTATGCCCCTGATTCTATTATATTCACCAGTTTATTCTGTTCTTCAGATTTTTTATTCACTTGATTTTTAGGTTCACTTGTTGATAGATATGTATTTGTTGTCACTTTGTTGTTCATAATTTTTATCTTTACCTTTTTCTTCCTCTTCTTAGAGAATACCCTTCAGCATTTCATATAATACTGGCTTGGTGGTGATGAACTTCTTTAGCTTTTTCTTGTCTGTGAAGCTCTTTATCTGACCTTCAATTGTGAATGATAGCTTCACTGGGTAGACTAATCTTGGTTGTAGGTTCTTGCTATTCATCACTTTGTATATTTCTGGCCTGCATAGTTTCCGTAGAGAAATCAGCTGACAGTCATATGGGTACTCCTTTGAAAGTAACTGTTTTTCTCTTGCTGCTTTTAATATTCTCTCCTTGTCGTTTGCCCTTGGCATTTTAATTATGATGCTTCTTGGTGTGGTCCTCTTTAGAGTCCTCTTGTTTGGGGTTCTCTGTGCTTCCTGGACTTGTAAGTCTATTTCTTTCACCAGGTAGGGGAAGTTTTCTGTCACTATTTCTTCAAATATGTTTTCAATATCTTGCTCTCTCTCTTCTTCTGGCACCCCCATAATTCGGATGTCGGTATGCTTGAAGTTGTCCCAGAGACTCCTTACACTATCTTCATATTTTTGGATTCTTTTTCTTTTTGCTTTTCTGGTTGGGTGTTTTTTGCTTCTTTGTATTTCAAATCTTTGACTTGATTCTTGGGATCCTCTAGTCTGCTGTTGGATCTCTGTATATTATTCTTTATTTCAGTCAGTGTATGCTTAATTTCTGATTGGTCCTTTTTCGTATCCTTGAGGGTCTCACTAAATTTCTCGGAGGTTTCTAGAAGATTCTTTAGTAACCATATAACCATGGTTTTGAACTCTATATCCAGTATTTTGCTTTCATCCATTTCTTTCATTTGTGACTTGTTTCTTTGTCTCTGCATTTTGGCTGCTTCCCTGTGTTTGTTTCTATGTACAGGGTAGCTGCTAAGTCTCCTTGAGTTGATAGAGTGGCCCTGTGTGGTTGGTGTCCAATAGGGCCCAGTGGCTCAGCCTCCCCAGTCACCTGAGGTGGACGCTCTTGGTGCATCCCTGTGGGATGTTTGCACAGTCTTGTTGTAGTTAACCCTTGATTGCTGTTGGTATCACTGGGAGGAATTGACCTCCAGGCCAGTTGGCTGTGGTGTCCAGCTGTGTCTACACTGGAAGATCTGTTGCACAGGATACACTCTTATGGGGCAGGACTTGCTTCAATAGGGCTTTGGTGCTCACTGAGTCTGCCCCTTGAGTGTGTCTCTTATGGATGTGAAGAGTTGTAATCTATTATCATCTCCAAGGAGGTGCAAGGTCAGCCACTGTCTGAGGCAGCCCAGCAGGAGCTACAGAGACATCTGCAGATTCCTCCTCTTTGTATGGAGTTTGGAAGTGCCCAGATGAGGCCCAGCTGTGACTCAAGGCCGCTGCTGCTACCAGGTATTGGGCCTTCTTTTGGAATCTCTGGGGCTCTCTGACCCAACTGCAATTTGTTTTAGGGGAAAGGACAGGCAATTCATATGCAAAAGCTGATGCATACAGCTTGGGTGGGGTTGTAAATTGGGAGGGGCGGGGTCTCTGGAAATCACCAGGGTGGAGCAAACAGCAACAGGCTTCCCTGAACTGGAGAAGTCCCTGGTTCTCCACATCCCGCGCACCCATGCAGGAACAATGATTGCTTCGAGCACCTCTAAGCGTAAGCCACATTAACATTCCTGTCCCAATGCCAGACAGTCCAGTTTCTCCCCGTATGTGTCTGGGTCCCCCAGAGTCTCGCCCGGAACTGGAATTCAGAGCAAGCAGGAGCTTGTATCTCCCTCCCAGTTTAAAGAGCAGCACATCCAGGTGCCAGCACTTTCCGTGCCTCCGCACCTCTTACCAGTCTCAGTGTGCTTTCTTCACCTCTCTAGTTGTAGAATTTCCACTCAGCCAGCTTTCCCGCGGTTCTGGGTAGTAGTTGTTCTGCCGTTTAGTTGTAATTTTGGTGTGGCTGTGAGAGGTAGCAAGTACAGGTGATTACCTGTGCCGCCATCTTGGTTTTTCTCAATTGTCCTTGAATTTATTTGTGGTTTCTTGGGGGTCTAGATGACCTTGCCTTCCTTTAGAGAGCATTCACTTTTGCTTCTGTCAAATGTCTGGAACATTTCCAGTTTGGGAACATTTTCTCTCTCTCCCTTTTTTTAAAATATATTTTTATTGATTTCAAAGAGGAAGGGAGAGGGAGAGAGAAATAGAAACATCAATGATGAGAGAGAATCATTGATTGGATGCCTCCTGCACACCCAACACTGGGAATCAAACCCACGACCCGGGCATGTGCCTGGCTGAGAATCAAACCGTGACCTCTTGTTTCATAGGTCAATGCTCAACCACTGAGCCATGCCGGTTGGGCTGGGAACATTTTCAAATAAAATCATAACTCAAAAGCTTGGGGGTTTTTGCTTTGTTTTGTTTTACAATTCAGTTGGTACTGCAGTTGAGCTACAAAAACACTTGAAGATTAGCTTGTAGTTACAACAGCCTAATGACTTTTCTAGTGTCTTGCTCTGCTTAACAGTAACAACAAAAACATCTGAGAAGGGTAGCAGGTTTACTAATGGCTCATCCTTACTCTCAATGTATGGTTCTCTGTAGTCCCAGCTTAATGGGCGGACAGAATCTCTTATTGAACTTTACCCTGAGTGGGCCTGGCCTTTGAATTCTCTTCCTCTCACCTCTAGGCCATCAGAGCCTCACGTTTGCAGGTGTCCTCAGGGCAAAACCTAAGAATTCAGAGGAGAAACCCCAAATAGCTGGTTCTTGGGTCTCTGAGAAGGGGCACAGCCTGGTGCCCAGAGGCAGGAGCCTGTGGGTCAGGCCTAGTGCATGATTAGTACTCGGAGGGCAGGGGGCTGTGGTTGCTGGCAATTCTGAGAGGGCACAGCCAGGCTGGTGCCGGGAGCTACATCTCTTACTACCATTTTCCTTCCAGTTTTAGCTCCAGGGACGTCATTCTTCTCATTTTCAACACCAACATGAGCCTTTGTACAGACTTTCCTCTGCCTGGAGCACCATTTTGTCTCATCTGCCTGGTGATGACACTGTTCAATGTCACCTTCTCTGTGAAGTCTACCCCACACGCAGTCTGTAGGATTCCGTGTACATGGCGCCCCCTTGTGGTCCCTTCGTTTAGAGCTGGGTGGAAGGACACGTGCAAGTCTTGGACCAAGGGCCTTGTTCTTGCCCGACCTCTCCCTGCTGACCTAAATGACGAAAGGCGGCGTGCCAGCTGAGTGCGTGGCTGCACACTGTGGCTCAGGGGGCGCGGGGGCTGAGCCTGTGGGCAGCTGAGGGCACGTGTGGGTGGCAGCTGTTCCGATTGGTCAAAGGGAGCGCAAGCCAGAGCGGCCGGAATTCTCCCCCATTAGCTTTGCCATCGCCTGGGACTTGCAGCTCCACCTTGGGCCACTTCCAACCATGAAGCTCCTCTTGCTGACTGTGACTGCACTGCTGCTCTTGTCCCAGCTCACTCCAGGTAGGTCACCTTCCAGAGCCGTCTAGAGAGGGCACCTTCCAGAGCCGTCTAGAGAGGGCACCTTCACCAGCAGGTGCAGATCTCAGCCACGCCATCGCTGCTCCCCAGGGAGCGTGCCCAGGTGGCCTAGCACCATGAGAGGGAACGGGAGGGGTGGGCAAGAGAAGCAGGAAGAGCAGAGGACAGTAGAAATAGTCCCCAGAATCATCTCGCTGTGTGAAGGTCACAACCACCGAACCAGGAGAGAAAAGCTGGTTTCCTATTGCTGTCTCTGTGCCTGAGCCTGTGTGGGGAGCCAGGGCCACAGAGGTAAATGGCACGGCCCCGGGGGCGATACCATTTACAACCCAGAGTGACTCCAGCTGTGATAAAGGGAGCCAGGAGGCTGGGGTGCACATGGAGGGGGGACCAGCCCAGCCTGAGGGCCAGGGGCATCCTCCCAGCGGGATCCCCCCACATCCTGAAAAATGTGTAGAAGACAGAAGGGGAAGGAAAAGAGGGGGGAATCGAAAAGGTGCCCGGCAGAAATCACCGTATGCGAAGGTCCAGATGTGGGAGAGATCACGGTGCCTTTAGGGAGCTGGAGGCGTGGGTTAGGGGCGTGGCGAGGGGTAAAGCTGAGGCTGGGCCGGGAATGCCAGGGAGGGAGCCATGGGAAGGCTAGGGAGAGAAGGGCCATCATCAGACTTGCCCGTTCCACCCACCCCAGCATGAGCTACCTGGCCCCTCCTGCTCAGCTGCCAGAGCTTCTGCCCACCCCCAGGCGTTCCTCTAACCTTCCCAGGTGTGGGAATGTGTGAATTTCCTCAAACAAGCTGCCCTGTGTCCTTATATCTGCCTGTGGGAAGATGCCTGAAAGGGCTCACCTGGGGTAGAGAGGAAAGCCCCGGAACCCGGTTAGAAACTGCCCAGCTTTTTCTCACACTGGGACCCCCAGCAAGCAGCCCGGCTGCTCCGTTTCAATGTCCTCCTTCCTCGGACTGCTCCAATAGTGCCTGTGTAGCAAGGTCAGGTTGAGGGCACAGCAATGAACACACTGACATTTTTGTGTGCGAAAACAGGTAGCTTCTCTATTTTGTGTAACTCGTCTGAGTTGCCCCTGGAACTTCCATCATGCTGGTGGGACAGTTGGGAGGGAGGTGGAGCATAGGAGCTGTGCCTAAACTCGGCAGTTAAATATTCATCCTTTCTGGTTTAAACTGGTTACCAGGTTCATTCTGTCCCTTTGAATAAATATTCGGTCTTTCAGCATTTTTCCTTTCTTACGCTCCCCTTCTCCTTCCCAGAATAGAATTGGGTTTAAGAGAAAGTAACTTGCTATGTCATGATTTCATTAATTGGTTCATTCAGGAAACATGGTTGAATAGATTTAATGTTCCAGGCAATGTGATAGGTACAAGAGAAAGAGCAGTGAACCAATCAGAACAAAGCAAGATAAGCAAAATCTCTGTCCTCTTGGAGCTTACATTCTATTGAAGGAGACAGAAAAAAAATTGAAATAAATGAAACATATGGAATGTCAAATGATGAAAATAATGAACGGAATAGACAGGCAAGGGGAATAGCAAATATGAGTGGGGTGGACTTGCCATTTTAAAGGTGTGCTCATGGAATGGCTCACTGTGACCTGAGGGAGGATAAGGGATAAGCCATGTGGGTTTGTGGGGTAGAACATTCAATCTGGGGGTGCAAAGGCCCTATGTCGGGAGCATAAGGAATTGGGATAGGGTCCTATGCTGAACCTTCACTGGCTTTTAGGACGATGCCCTTCATTGTTTATGGTCAGTGAGTGTCCTGCTGGCACTTGCTACTGGATCCCACAGCTCTCAGTCCTGTCAGAGCCCCACTGGCTCAGCCCTTGATCTCAGCCAAATCTCCCATCTGCCCCTTAGGTTTAGTCTGTTCACACCCCTTCCCACTGCCTTATGCACAGAGGTCTACTCTTAATAAGTCCCACAGGCTCTTAGCTTCTCACTGGTTTTCTTAACCAGAAGCATGGAGAATTAGGGACCTTCTGGTCTATTTTATGCCACAGGGAAGCAGAGGGAGATGCTCAGCCATTTCCAATCCTCCTCCAGGTGGCGCCATGATGTGGGTGTCCAGTCTGTTAGCAATAACTGGGCCATGCTCAGGCTAGGAATGCGGGCCTTTTGTCCAGACCAACCTGGGTGTTAATAGCAAAAGATTGTCTTACCCCTACTTTTCTCAAATTAGTTGTCTCTACGTCCTAGGTCGACCAGCAGGCCAATAGTGGAGAAGGGGTAGAAAACCTTGGTTTCTAGCTTGCTGATAGGTCCACCGTCAGCCTGGCTGGCCGAGGTGAAGTATGAGGTTTTAGTGGAAGTCTCAGGCCTGTAGCTGCTGCTGTTGCTGCAAGAAGTGGATTTAAGTGCCCACTTTCTCCTAGGGAGAGCATTTCCCTTCTACTTTCTGTTGGGTGTGATGGCGGCAAAGATTGAATGGAAGTTTCTCTAGCCAGATCCTCAGCCTTTGCCTCCTATGGCTTATGGTAAGGTAGTATTATCTGAATCTATCAGGCTCTCCTAGGGAGAGCATTTCCCTTCTACTTTCTGTTGGGTGTGATGGCGGCAAAGATTGAATGGAAGTTTCTCTAGTCTTGCTATGAACTAAAACTACTCATCTCATTTAAGCAATGACTTTGTCATTCTAACTGTTCTTTACTATTTCTCTAAAGCCCAGGAACAGCTTAATTCTGCTTTTTGGCAACCAAAATGAAAGAAGAATGAAATACATATTACTTTAATATTTTCAAACTATTAAAGTTAGGTTAATTGTGGAAATTTGGGGCATATATATGAAGCCTGAGAACCCAACAGATATTAGATTTAGGTGGGACATGTCACCTACTTTTCCATTATACCTCCTCATAGCACCCAGAGTTCTTCCTTTATTACATTCATTACAACTCTAGTCAATCAAATATCTGGGAAGTTATTTCTTTCATGGCTATCCCCCCACCACCAGCAGCACCACTAGACTGGAAATTCTAGGCAGTGTCTATCTCTAACCTGTTTCTAGTTGTATCTCCAATACAAATATATTCTCAATCTATCCGTGAGTATTTCTCTAGGATAGACATCTGGAAAGAAAATTGCTATTTGAAAGAAAATTCTGTTCCTAATATTAAAGTGTGTGAGTCATTGCTAAGTAGCTTCCAAGGAGGCCAAAACCAAGTGTATGAGACCATCTTTCCTCTCACTCTCACCAACAGTTCATCTTGACACTCTTGAATTTAAAATTGAGATTTTATTGCAATGGTTTGGGCTGTTGTAAAATAAAACACAAAATTACAGATTATGAAACCACATAAAATGAATGCACAGCTTAATGAATTGTTATAAAGCACACAACCTAGTAACCACAATCTAGATCAATAAATAAAACATTGACACCCACAAAAACCCACCTGCCCCCATCACAACTATCTCCCTTCCCCAAATTAAGCAAAATCTTAACTTTTACCAGTATAGCATTCAAGTCTTTGCATTTTCTTTATGGTTTCATTGCTAACGATGCATCCCTAGACATCCTATTTTTATCATGTCCACTTTAAAAATCTGATGTCCCTTAAGATTATTTAATGTACTGGCTACATCTTCATCCCTTTCTTGTCTTTAGAATTTATCTGGTTATCTGGCATGACAGGATATTCTAGGCTCATCTTGTACAACTCCTGCTGCAGAACATGAAAGCCATTTCTTTAAGCTCTGATTTTTAAAAATAGGAAAATGGTATTTTTAAAATTAGAACTATGATCTAGTGCTAGAGATATTCAATGCTACTAAATTGGTCCTTTCTTTTTCTTTTCAGTAGACAGAGCTAGGAGAGAAAATCAACACATTTAAATGTATATAAAATACCTCATGAATTCATATTGATACTTTCTATTCAAAGTGAGGACTACAGGATTTGTAGTCAAAATATTCCATATTCCTCCTGTATTTTCCTTCTTCCACACCAACATTCTCAGATACACTGTGTACTTCTTCAACTTCAGCATTTTCAAGTCATCTGTTATTTAAAGAACATCTTGAATTATAGTTTGAGCATTTTTTCTGATATCTTGCTCTGCTTTTCCCCCTCAAGGTCTCTTCTTGTCTCTATGTTGAATCTCCTTTGCCTATCTTCAATGGTTGTCACTTTCTATTGAATTTTTCTCTTGTTTCTTTCTTTTATCATTTTTCTGAATTCAAATTTACATAAAATAAAATGCCCACGTGTATAAGAATAAAAACATAATATGCTAATTAGACTGGACATCCTTCCGGATGACCTTCCGGACGAAGCCAGGGCTACAAGAGAAGCCCGGGTCCCGGGTGCCAGAGGGAAGCCTGTGCCGGAAGCCGGGGGAAGGAAGGCCTGCTCTTGCACGAATTTCGTGCATCGAGCCTCTAGTTTTAAGTATAAAATGTCAGCTTCAACAAATGTATATATTCATGTAACCACCACCACAATCAGTATAATACATTTCCACCATGCCCCTTTGCAATCAGTTACCTCCCCTCCCCTGCCCCTACCCCCCCCCACCCACCCCCAGCCACCAGCAACCACTATTCTGTCACTTTAGTCTGGCCTTTTTGAGAATTGGGAAAGACAAACAAGCTCATAAAGTTGTAAAATAACTCCCACATGATCGAAATCAGCTAGCTCTGAAGGTTGTGATCTATCTAGACCAGGGACTATTGACACTCTTGGCAATTATTGGCATTTGGGGCTGGATAATGCTTTGTTGTGGCTGTAGTGTGCATGGCAGGATGCTTAGAAGAATCCTTGGCCTCTACCCAGTAATTGCCATGGTAACCCCAATACCACCACCACCCGTGGTGACAAATAAAAATGTCTCCAGATGTTTCATTACCAAATGCCCCCTGGGGGGCAAAATCACCCAGTTGAAAGCACTGCTCCAGACAACACATAGTTTTTCATTGAGCACAAATTTTCCCCCATTTTGGCCAAAAGATAATCTCAAAGAAAACTTATTCTTGATCACAAAATAAATCTGGTCTAAATCTTTAGCAGAAAAAAGGAAACAACAAAGAGTAAATTATAAATTAATGAAATAGAGAGTGGTCATGGCACCAAACTGTCTAAAGAAAATAATTCAATTGAGACAAATAGAGGTTACAGGCTTTATTCAGCTGATGGACATCAGGGAGCACCTGAAAACCCAACTCTGAGCTGGATTGGAGTTTTTATTGAATAAGGAAGAGAGGGATAATGTCATTGTTTGGCTTGAGTAGCAGATTTCATCTTTAACTGCTGCAAAACTTGTGGTTGGAATAGTTGGGAACTGTTCCAGATTTTTGTGCCTCATGGTTGACACCATTGGTACAATCCTACCCCAACACTGTCCAAACAGTTCTTTTGAAAGCTATTTTTGCAAGCCTTGTAGTTTATTGGTTAGCCAAGATTCTGGGACAGGAAAGGTATCAAAAATAATATGGGTAGGTTATTGCCTGGGGCTCAGGGGAAGGGAGAATGGGGAATTATTGTTTAATGGATATAGTTTCAGTTTTACTTATGGGGATGGATGACAGTTATGGATGCAAAACAATGTGAATGTATTTAATGCCACTGAACTGTACACTTAAAAATGGTTAAGATGGTAAATTTTATGTTAAGTGTATTTTACCACAATTTAAAACAAAACTAAGTATAGCCACCTTCTTGATGAGGTGCCTTGGCAAAAACAAAGCAAAATAAAAATCTACACTAATAAAAGAGAAACATACAAATTGGTGTCACTCCACTACGCCCACCAGCCAATCAGAGCAACTATGCATATTAACCCAACAAAGATGGTGGTTAATTTGCATATGCAGGCTTGGAGTGAAGACTGAAGGCTCCGGCCAGAGTGAAGACTGTAGAGGCTTGGCTTCTCCGCTGTGGCCGCAGTGGAGAAGCCAAGCCTTGCTGCAGCAGAAGAGGAAAAGTCAAGCCTCGCTGTGGCTGGACCAAAGGCCTGGGTCCCAGGTGGCAGAGGAAAACCAGTGCCAGCAGCCAGGGGAAGGAAGGCCTATTGCACGAATCTTCATGCAACGGTCTTCTAGTAAAATTATAAAGAGAGTGATGGAATGTTAACAAAACAGAAAAGTATAAAAACAATATGGAAAAGACAAACAAACAATATGGATGAACCTTAAAAGCATCATGCTAAGTGAAAGAAGCCAGACACAAAAGACCACATATTTTATTATATGACTAGAGGCCCGGTGCACAAAATTCGTGCACTGGGGCAGTGGGGTTCCCTCAGCCCAGCCTGCCCCTCAGTCCGGGAGCCCTCAGTGGATGTCCTACTGACGGCCACAGTCTGGCAGCAAAGGCTCGGAGCAGGCGTCCCGTGTGTGTGTGTGTGTGTGTGTGTGTGTGTGTGTGTATGTGTCTGCTGGGGCCTGCCCCCAGCCGTGTCACGTAGGCTTGGAGCAATTGCCCTGTGTGTGTGTGTGTGTGTGTGTGTGTGTGTGTGTGTGTGTGTGTTGTGTGTCTGCTGGGGGCCTGCCCCCAGCCACACCATGGGGGCTTGGAGCAGGCGTCCCTCTCTGTTGATCTCTCAGGCTCCTGGCCTCCACTGCGTGCTGTACTCTCCCTTGAGCTGTGGCCAGGGTGGGGTGCTGCCTGCAGGCCGTGCTTTCCTGCTCATGGATCGCCACAGCGACCCAGGATCAGGCCTTGTTGGGTGCTGCCTACAGGCCGCACTTTCCTGCTCACCGATCACTGGATCGCCAGGGCACCTGGGGTCAGGCCCTGCTGGATGCTGCCTGTGGGTGGCACTCTCCTGCTCTCTAATCGCCATGGGGTCCCGGCTGGGGGCGGAGTTTAGGCGGCGCAGGGCTTAGGCAGCACACGGGGGTCCCGGCTGGGGGCGGGGCTTACGCCTAAGCCCCGCCGCCCAGGGCTGCACACAGGGCCAGGATGGCGGCTCGCACTGTCCCGCCCTGCCTGCAGTATGCAAATTAGCCGCCATCTTTGTTGGTAGCTAATTTGCATATCGCGCTGATTCGCCCATGGGAGGCGTAGCGAAGTTATGGTCAATTACCATTTTGTCTATTATTAGATAGGATTCCATTGGCATAAAATATGCAGAGTAGGCAAAAATATAGAAAGGAGGGCAAATTGGTGGTTGCCCAGGGCTGGAGTGGGGGAGCGAGGGGGGGAATA